TATATCTATATATCTCTATTCGTTCTACTACTCTCTATACTCTCTATCTCTCTATATCTATCTCTATCTATATCTATCTATATATATCTCTTCTATCTATCTTTCTCTCTTTCTTTCTTTCTCTTTCTTTTTTTTCTTTCTTTCTTTTCCTTCTTTTCCTTCCTTTCCTTCTTTTCCTCCTTTCCTTCTTTTCCTCCTTTCCTCCTTTTCTAATTGTTGCAGCAGCATGGTTCATGTCAGAATAGATGACTTTTGAGGGGGAGGGTAGAGCTCAGTGGTAGAGTGTGTGCTTAGCATGCACAAGGTCCTGGGTTCAATCCCCAGTACCTCCATTAAAGATAGATAACCAATCAATAGATGGATAGATAAGTGAATGAATACCTAATTACTATGCTCCCCCCCAAAAAAAGAATAGATGATTTTTTTGTTTTGAAAACATTGATAAATGTATTTGGATGTACAAACATGAATGTCCTTCCCTTTCAGACTATTCTGAAATAGAGAATAAAACAAAAAGAAGTGTATTACCATGAATAATATAAAGAGAAGAATTTTGACATTTTATGTTCATCCCTGCAATGCAGAGGAAAAGACAGCCAAAAATGCAAGGGAGAGATCTTGTGACCTACTCACTTTGGCATGGGAAGAAAATGTTGGCTTCTAAGAAATTCATGACAGAGAATAGATGGCAATTTCTAGGCACTCTGAAATTGAAGTTGCTTTTTGTTTTCTACTATGTGGCACAAAGGAAAATGTTAGTATTGCTTCTGCTGAAATTAAGTAAGAGGAACTGTGCCTGAGATGGAGGAGAGTGGAAGCTGGAGGATGGAGTCTGATGGAGGGAGGGGCAGGCAGTCTAGACAGAGGCTGCAGCAGTTGCTAAATCAGAAGATGACTCTCCCCTGAAGTTCCCTGACGATAAACAGAAAGTCTCTGGACTTCTTATGGCTCAGAGAATAAGCATTCAGCTATTTTATGTACATACGTTAGGGACAGTGACCCCAGAATGGTGGAAGACTTCAAACCACTTAAGCAAGAGGCTTACTCTTCTTAATGCAAAAGTTTCTGGAAAATGAAAATTGGCAATGCAATGAAAGAGATTAAGCTGTTCTGTCACTGAGACCAGTGAGATTTTACAGCATTTCAAGTAAATCACTTTTTATTTACTTAGTGCTCTTGCAAATACATTACATGCAAATAATACAGCTTTCCTGCTCAAGTTTATTCTTAATTTAGCTTCAGGATATTTACTGACATTACTTTTTTTTTTTAACAAGCATCTTATTTTATTTTATTTAATTAATTTATTTATGTTTAAATTTTTATTTATTTATTTATTGTTTGGTGGGGGGGAGGTAATTAGGTTTGTTTGGTTGTTTTTAGAGGAGGTACTGGGGTTTGAACCCAGGACCTTGTGTACTCATTAAGCAGTAGAAGCACTCTACTGCTTGATCTATACCTTCACCCCCTACAAGCCTCTTATTTTAGAATGCTTTTAGATTTATAGAAAAATTGTGAAAATAGTACAGAGAGTTGCCATAAAACCTTGTATTTGCTCTTTTAAAATATAATTATTAGTGCTATATCAAATTATGACAAATTTAGCAGCTTAAAAAAAAACCTCTCAAATTTACTATTTTACAGTTCTGTAGGTAAGAAGTACAGAAATCTAACATTGGTTTGACATGGCTAAAATGAAGGTGTCTGCAGAACTGGTTTTGAAGGATCTAGGAGAAAATGCATTCCATGGTCGTTCCTAGTTCCTAGTAGACACATATATGCCTTGGTTCATGGTTCTGTTTGTTCCTCCTTCTTCAAAGCCAGCAATAGTTGATAAAGTTTCTTTCATGCCTCAAACCACTCCTGCCCTTATTCTGTTGTCTTACTTCTCTCAACACAGTTAGGACTTTTAAGGAGTTATATAGTAAGACTGAGCTCACACTGATAATACAAGATCATTTCATCGCAGGGTCCTTAAATGTTATCACATCAACAGTTTGCCATATAAAGTCGAATATTCACAGGCTCTGAAGACTAGGATGTGGACACCTTTATGGAAAACGTTGCTCTGTCTACCACACCCCACAATCAAGCTCCACCTTTATTAACATCTTATATTATGGTACATATGTCACAATTTATGAACCAATATTGACACATTATTCCTAACTTTAGTCCATACTCATTCGATTACCCTTTGCATGTAGTGAATGTCCTTTTTCTGTTCTGGGATAGTACGCAGGATAACATGTTACATTTAGCCCTCATGTCTCCTTACACTCCTCTTGGCTTACAACAGCTTTTCTGACTTTCCTTGTTTTTGATGGCCTTGACAGTTTTGAAGATTGCTGGCCAGGTATTTTGTAGAATGCCCATTGAGGGACAATTGTTTGATGTTTTTATCATCACTAGTCTGAAGTTACATGGTCATAAGAAGAAGATCATGGAAGTAAAACGCCACTTGCGTCACATAATATCAGTGTGACATTACTGTTGATGTTACTGTTCACCACTTGGTTCAGGCTGTGTTTATCAGATTGCTCCACCGTAAAATTATTTTACCCTCCTTTCCATGTTGTAGCCTTTTGAAGGAAATAAGTATGCACATCACACATGAGGGAATGAGGAGTTACATCCCAAATCCTTGAGGGTGAATTATATAAATAAATTACTAGGCATTCTATTGCATAGATTTTTTTCCATATTTAAAAAATATTCAGAATGACTGAAAAATTGTGCTAAACACTGGAATTTTACACAACATTGTAAAATGATTATAAATCAATAAAAAATGTTAAAAAAATAAAGTAAAAAAATATTCAAGCATTTATTTATACAGGTATTGCCTCATCAATAATTTTATAAACTTTGGATTATAATCCAATTCTAATTTATTTATTACTTTATTGCTCAAATCATTCCAGGTTTGAAAATTGGGAATTATTTCAGTTAACTCCTGTGCTCTTTTAATACACCCTATCATTTTGTGTGTGTGTGTGTGTGTATGTGTGTTACGTTTTTGTATTTTCTTTCTTTTTGG